TCTCTCTCTCTCACTCCCTCCACAAATCATAACAAACCATCCATAACGAAAAAGTATAGATAGACAATATAATAGAAAATGCAAGGTTGGCCACGTTTGTGTGGTTCTGCATGTGTGTGTGAAGCTTCTGCATGTGTGTGTGAAGCTTCAGAAATAATGCCTTTCTCGGCATTTTTCGATAAGATAGATCAAGTGTAGTATTCGTTCTGATCAGTTTGATATCAAAAACCGAAAAAAAAGAACAAGAAAAAATGAAAAGAAAAAAAACGCCCTTCGGGAATAGCCCTGTTGGGCAGTGTCGGCCTATGCTAATGTGTCCATTTCAAATATCCCCCATTTATTGTCAGTGGGGACAGACAGTGAATAGGCGGTTATTGGTTAGGCCCGGAACTGGTACCGCAAAGAATGGTGAGGCAGTGTACCAGGTTCTGCAAAAGCCCCCAGGAATAGATTGGAGAATTGTCCAAGTTAGGAAGAAGAAGAAGAAGAAGGAAAAAAAAAAAAAAAAAAAGGGGTTTGTCCGAGGGCATGGATGGACAGACAAACACAGACACACATGCAACCTCCTCATGACGAGTTGGCGAAGTCTGACGAGAGGGGAGGAGGGGGGGGGGGGGGGCGCATTACGAACAGCCACAGAGACAGAGGTCTTGATAGGCATGCAGTAGAAGAGAAGAACTATAGACTGTATACAGAGATGGGGGCATTAGTAGCCGCATTACTGACAGCCACACATACAGAGTCCGACATGTTGATGGGCATAAGAGTAGCAGAGAGAACTCGACTGCCTACTTATCCCAGCATTTGATCAATAGCATGTTTCCAGAAAACCACATGATGGGGCCTGCAAATCTCTTCCCTACAAAATCAAGCATGTATTACCGTATAGTACGTCTACCAATTCCAATTCAGGGTTGGCACTTGGAACAACTGCATGATTTGTGTCCCAACAGGACCAACACAATGAACTACAATGCAGGAAAAAAAAAAAAAAAAAAAAAAAAAGTGAGCCTCACCTTTCCAAACAATATACTCCTCTTTAAAACTTCACGAATATGTCGTTCAAACTTCAAAACTGTCCGATTTTGCTGAGAGCAACACTACATGTGTATGGCCACCCACTCTTTTGCAGGCAAGCACCGCACGCACGCACACACACACGCACATTATCGTCTCCAAGGCCATCTCCCCCAACTCTGGAGACGCTTCACCATGCTCTCTCCGTCTGCCATCCAGCGACTGCCATGCACGCAGGCGCTGCACGCATGCACGCAAGCATGCACATCATCATCGTCTTCAAGGCGATTTTTTTGTCCTCCACCTCTGAAGATGCTTCACCAGAAGATCACTGTTGTCTGGCGACTCCCATGCCCTGGCCAGAGCACCACCTCCAGCCCGTGTCACTGCAGTAGACAGGTCTCGATCGCAGAACCTTCAACAGCTTCCCGCTGCCGTCCAGCGAGTCCTGTGGCTGCGGAAGAGGACAACTTGCAAGCCAATGTTACCGACCTGTGACTGCTGTCCTCTATTGCAGTCTTGGCCCAAGACTGCCAAAAAAACACCACTGACAGCAATCAGTGCAGTCCATCCACTCTACATAAAGGGCCATTCCTCAACTCAGTATCCATCACTATCCTCCAACCCATAGCTTCGATTCCTCAACATCAGCCAATGATTTTAGTACAGCTGCAACGCCTTGCATGAAACACTCTCTATTTTCAGATAGACCTCCTTCGATGCATCGCTACCGACGGAGGGATGACAGAGCCAATACGGCTGCTATTATGCACGCTCTACGTCTGCCACTCTAGTTCCTTGATTACATCGCGCCATCTCGCCACCGCAATTCTTGATTACATCGCGCCATCTCGCCACCGCAATTGTCGAGGTTAAAACACCTAAGATATTGAGCACGCAGCACGATATCATTCTCCTATCCAAGGCCGTTAACACGTCCTTACCCTCTTGACCCTATACTGGGTACATTGTTGGACCTCCCCCCCGCTTCTATTTTTCCCAAACTGTTCTACTGCTAGTACTATGTTCACTTGCATCGCAACTATAAGCTGCTCCACCTACTAAAAAGGCAAAATTCCCCTACCCTATTTTGCAATGCAACAGAGCAACATTCACTGGAACACTCAGTGAAACATTCAGCGGAAATTGTTGAGTCACGCCGCTATCCAGCAAAGCGCTGCAGGACGCTTGCCCAACTTGGATGCGGACATAAAGAATCCATGCGTTATTGTCGTCATACCGCTGCGTGTGAAACTCGCAGGCCACCTCGGTGATATATGCAAGGAGGTCCCCCACTGCAACTTTGTCACCCGTCGGCAAAGTTGGTGGTGCATAGAAGGTGCAAATGGGCGCATAGTGCTGCGCATTGCGGTCCCGGGAAGCGGGCCGTGGAAGGGAGAGGAAGCCATGCAAAATCCTCGAGCGACAACAGGTCCAAGACCTCTATGTTGAGCCCTTCAGCCGCACATTCAGCGGAACATTCAGCGGTTCAGCTGAACATTCAGTGGAACATTCGGAACATTCAACGGAACAATCAGCGCAGCGGAAGAGACAGATGAATATTCAGATGCAAGTTTACCTGTAAAGAACCTCTGACCCCGTCAATCTATTGCTATACTCCATTATACAACTCAAAGGGTACCTTTTCCAGCTGCAGAATGAGGCAGGAAAACTGTTTTCAGATCGCCGACTCTGCTTTGTCAAGGAGACGGCAAGCTGCCACGCTCTAATAAAAAAAGTTAAAAAAACAGATCGCATACTCCTCTCTCTCTCTCTTCGGATACGAAGGCGAAGTACGAGGTACAAGACTTCATGCCCGGCCTTGATCACGCTGTCTATGTCAGCATAGACAAACTAAGAGCAGGTACTGATCACCTGCCTCGTCGAGGAGATAGAAAGCTCTAATAAAGAAAACAGATCGCCTAGTTCATGCTCGGCCTTGATTGCGCTGTCCGCATAGACAAACAAAGAGCAGTACAAAGAGATAAGGCAGTAGCAAGATCACAAATTCCCAGGCAAGTGCCAAATGAATGATGTTACAAAAGTGACACAACAAAATCAAGCGAACATGTTCCACCCAGGAAGACCTGCTCTTCTCTCTCTCTCTCTCTCTCTCTCTCTCTCTCTCTCTCTCTCTCTCTCTCTCTCTCTCTTTTCGATTCACGCAGGCAAAGTACAAAGCACAAGACTTCATGCGCTCGGCCTAAATCGCACAGTCAGCAGTGACAAAAAAACTTAAGACCAGTGCAAGGAGATATAAGGCAGTAGCAAGACTACAAATCCCCAGGCAAGGTGCAAAACGGGCGACGGCAACACAAAACCAAATTAAACGAGTACGTCGCGCCCAAGAAGACCCACACATGAGACATTGGGAGATGCCGATGAGGGAGGGGATAAGGTGCCATGGGGGAGAGGGGCTGAGAGGAGAGAAGAAGAGAGTAATTCCACAACACTCTTCTCTGCAAGCAGTCCGTCCTGTGGTTTCAAAGCCAAACCTCAGCGGCCTTGCATGCATCCCCAGCTGGGCTTTACTGAGCATGGTGCACCACAGTAGAGCCACCCACTGTTTCCATGACGGGCATGGCGAAGACAAGGGCATGGCCAAAGAAGTGAAAACACGCATGGCCAAAGAAGTGAAAACGTGCACAGGAACGACGGATCGCGACCAAAGAAAGTGAAAACTGCAGCTCAGTAAACGTTTATTTGTGTGAAGTTTCACTACTGAGCATACTGTGAAATGTGCGAAACTGCAGCGGTCGTAATCTGCACCCATGCAGCTTCAGACATTCCTAGCCAACAGCTTGCCTGTGAATGGAAGACGATCAAACTATATGAAATTAAACTACGTCAATTCAATCCATGTGAAATCAATGTGAAACCAAAATGAAGTCAAGGGCAATCGGATCTCCAAGCAGAGATCAACACGAAAACGAAATGCTGAAAAAAACTTGCAATGCCCGAAATGATGAGTCGCAAGAAGACACCGATGTGTGCTGTAAACAAACAAAAAAAAAAAAAAAAAAAATCAATGAAGGGAGGATCTGCACCCCACGATTAAGAAGTTCACCCTCCTGACATTGATGGGGTGGGTGGGGTGTACTTCCAGGAGGCACTGATCATCTTTGTTGGTATTTTCCCCCATCTTTATATTTCTCCGGGTTCTCCTATTAAAATATAATAACACCCTCTGCTCGTAAATTGCGCTTGCTCGATTATCTGAGTTTACCTTGTCCTGTCCTCCACCTGCTTGTTTCCGAGTTCCAACCTTTGTCTCTCTCCCGCGTCTGAGATCTGCCCCTCGCTTAAAAAGAACCCCCCATTCTTGGCAATATCTCGCTGGTATCCCTCCTGAACCCTCCATTCTTGGCAATATCTCGCAGGTATCCCTCCTCTCCAGACCCCCCTCTCCACACCCCTTCGGATCTCCTGCGCAGTTATGTTTACAGCTTCAAAGGGGTAGGAAAAGAATTGGTCACTTCCACCTGTCGCGTCAAGACATATTACCTGCTCCATGCCTGTGCATCTGTCTAGAGAGAGTCTTATTCCAGGCAATCTTGGGCACACTGGCACCATTCATTCAGCTGCCCATGTGATTGTCCATTCAACCAATCGAGATCGAGTTCAGTCCTCTGCATAGCTGTCATTACATTTCCTTCCCCATCGGGGACGAACCTGTCCGTTGCGTCCCATGACACTGGCTGCTCTGCTGCCATGAGTCCCCCATCCGTCCATCTGCAAGGCTACAACATCAAAACCACGGAAACCTGGCCTTCACCCCACAGATCAGTCGCTGATGTGACTGCTGACGTGGCTGCTGACGTGGCTGCTGACGTGGCTGCTGACGTGGCTGCTGACATGGCTGCTGATTAACATGTCAAGTCTCAACTCATCCAACATTGATCAGTTGCTGATGATGTGGCTGCTGATGCGACTGCAATCGCAACGTGGACACCTCTCTCGACAACTCGGGTGCAATTTTTTTCAACACAATGTCCACTTCTCAAGCCAACTCATCCAATATACAACCGCCAGCAATCACATGCGAGCTGTTTCATGCCCTGTTATAATCGATCACGTGCTTCTATTAAAAAAGGAAGCAAAGTCGACAAAATTCACGCATAAATATGGCGCGAACTTTGTGAGGGCACTCTACCATTATTGCCGTGGCTGCTGCCGATAATCGCGAGGAGGCGACATGTTCTGGTGATGAGTTGGATAAGTACTGTGGGCAGCTCGTGCGTATGCGCCGTCGATATCAACATACTGCGCTGACTGCTCACCAACCAGGGAGACAACCCCACTCCAGCACACACACACCCAACTCCCATTCCCCCCTCCCCCCCCCCCCCCCCCCCCCCCNAGAGAGAGAGAGAGAGAGAGAGAGAGAGAGAGAGAGAGAGAGAGAGAGAGAGAGAGAGAGAAACAGATGGAAATGAGACAGCTGGGAAAGTGAAAGTGAAGAAAGGAAGAAAGGGAGGTGGCAAGACAAGGAAAAAGATCATCGAAATGATAGGCAGATGTTAATCTACAATACATTCCACCACAGAAACTCCACCGGGACTACACGCAAAACTGTTCACTACTTGGATATCAGAATGGTGAAACACACACACACATACACACACACTTATGACTTTCAAATCGACTACTTGGATATCAGAATGGTGAAACACACACACACACACACACACACACACACACACACACACACACACACACACACACACACACACACACACACGGACACACACACACACGCACAAAAGGCTAACGAGTTTGAAAAGCACCTGTTGTATATACGCCCGTCCTTGGGGATATCCCGATCCTTGAGCTTGGGAGGGAGCACTGGGGCCAACTGCAGGCCTGACATCCAAAAAGGCCAATCGCAGCACCAGTCAGTCACCTGGAGCCACAAGTAGATACAAAACACAAAGTCTATTCCATTCCGTGCGAAGGACAATAGTTCAAGTCAAAAGTAAGGCGCAGAGCATCGGATCCTGTTCTTCTATATTGAAGACAACTATTGGAAGCTGGAATAGATCGAACGCCATCAAAGACAGAAACATGATGCGGGGCTGCCATGAAAGGAACTGCAACACAAGGGAAGACCTGTCTCTTATACACATCTAGATGTGTATAAGAGACAGTCCCTGCACTTTACCTTGCCCCACAATGGACGTGCGCAATTTGACGAGACAGCTTGCCCACACCCATCACAACAAGCCAAGAACAACCACCTTGCAGAGCAGACGAATTATCCAACCGACTTGGCCACCATGCGACAAGCACTGGTCTTGCCCTTTGCACACATGAACATACCAAGCATACATCCACAAACAAGACATGAGGCAGCAAAAACAGACAAGCAGAGGAAAAATATGTTGAGAATCTCAAACTTAACCTCATGAGTAACGGTTAAGAGTAGCAAACCGAAATGAAATTCACACTTAAGTTCGTAGAGTGAGATTTCATTGTGACCAGCCGGGTAATTCAAAGTCAAGGTTAAGGTTGGCCGACAAGCTAGGCTACCAGTCGGGCCACCCGGGACAAATAGTTAATTTGTGTTACATACTGATGCGAGGGTTTACCCCTCGGCTAAGGCCTTGCAGCAGGCGCGTGCACGCCCTAAGTGAAGGCGGGCCCCCTGAACCCCAATGTGCTCTGAGTTCGTCAATTTTTGCAAATCTTGGTGGGCGTCAGACAGTTGCCACGTGCCAGTTGGTTACATTCGCCTCGCTCGAGAGAATCCAAAATACTTGTGAGCCTTCCAGGCTCTTCCAGCAACGTGGTCGAAGCAGGGAGCACCGCGCGTTTGTGCCTGGGCGGTTGGGCATGCCTAACCAATTCGATCCCAGGCCACTGTCTGAACGGGCCTGGCCGCAGACACTTTGGCCAAGACTGAAGCTACAGGAAACTTGGTCTCACGTGGGAAGCAAGCGGAAAGAGCCCCCCACTTTCCATATAGGAAAAGGCTGGGCTCCGGGCTGGACATTCGTGCACTTGCGTGCAGATGCGGCAGCGCTGCTGGAGCTGGCGCTCGCGGGCTGCTGCATTGGCGCAGAGGCAAGTGTGTGTGCGCGTGTGTGGTTGTGCAAGAAGGCAGGGCCAGAGAGAAAGAGAGAGAGAGAGAGAGAGAGAGAGAGAGAGAGAGAGAGAGAGAGAGAGAGAGAGAGATGAGGTTGATGATGTGAGGGCACGTCCCTGGTCTTGGCGATGGTCTACAAGTGTCGACATCTTCATATACTTCGGTTCTGCTGCTGACGTCAACTGGATGCATTGTCAGTTCGTAGGCTGCTAGTAGGCTGTGTGATAGTACTCTGGGCGCTGAGCGCCAAGTAGGAGGAAGGACTCTGGATACATATGTTGGTGATCGCGAGAGTATGCTCTCATTGACATTCAGATTCAGTGATTTGGTTCTCCGTTGGTGGAATACCAGTGCATATCAGTGCATTTCTGCTTTCTGGACAGTGTTCGTCTTGCTGGCTTTCAATGTCAATTTGCATTCTGGATTTCTGTCATTTAGCTATCTCTCATTTTCCTTGCACCGAACTTTTGTTCTTCATATCTTTATTCTTATTGAAAGTTCTGGATAACGTCCCTACCTGCGGAAAGAGGGGGGGGCGGGGGG